TATTTCACTACTATCTTGGGGACTAATCATTTTCTGTTTTTGGTGATTTTATGGAGTTTTTAATATACCATTTTACGCACTGGGTGTGTGAAGTTTAAAGACTTAATTTCACCTCTGAATTACTCCAAATGCTAGTGCAGGGAAAATTATAAAATTTTAGCTCTGTTAAAAATATACTATAAAATTCAATGCTCACATTATGGCTAAAAATTGAAGTGCGGCTAATTATCTACATGAGAAAAGAAAATTACCGAATTCATAATTTGGAGTTCCATTTTCACTTCTATTATAAGAAATAATTATGCATTAGAGCAAGTAATGCTCAACAGCAATCCGGGAAAGCAGTACTAAATAAAGCAATGCTCAAAGCAAGGCTTCACCAACACCAATGGGGCACTGTGACCAAACAGTGGATGCACTCATGCAAGCTAAGAATTCGTACCTGGTGATACAGGGAACTGTTTCACTGGGAGGGCTAGAACCTTGAGAACTTCAAGAAAAGCAGACTTCAAAAATGTTAGGGAGTCCGTTTATGAAAGCTCAGAAAAATGGAGCCATGAAAATTCAATGCAATACAAAATCCTTGAATCAGCTTAAACAGAACAGAGGCTACACCAAGACAATGAAGGACACTGGACTCTATGTAGATAACAGTGCTGTATCAAGGTTAAATTCCTTGAGTGTAATATTATGCAGAAGAATGACCTTGTTCTTAGGAGATATACATGAGGTATTCAGAATTCCTAAAAGATCCAGTGAAAAAAACAAAGTGTGGATATGAGCGTGTGTACGGAAGGAAGGAGAAGGGCCTACAAATGTGGCAAAATATGAACTGGGAAATCCAGAGAAAAGTGATCATTGAACAATTCTTCAAACTTTTCTATAAGGTGGACTTTTTTCAAAATAAAATCCTGGGGTTAAAACAAAATCAGAGAGCGGTCTGACTTCATACTGCAAGGAGCTGTCTCAAGAGTAACGAGAAATTTTTCTTTTTTTCTTTTTCTTTCCAATTCAGAGGAAAACCATTATAATCTTTCTAAAAACCATAACAAACAGTGCAAACAGTAAAAGGAGATGCCCCATATTAAAGGATGGTATCAAAGAGTGTTATGACTCTCTAAGGCTTATTTATGACAGGTTAAGGCACAGCACTGAGGGTTTTATTGTTTTGTTTTGTTTTAAACTATGTTCAGAAGATGGTTGAGCACTAATATTTCTGAGAGCCTAGCCTCTGCTTTATAAAAACCATCTAGCTTAACCATTTTAACAAGCGTGATTATAGCTCTTATGATCCCAAACTGAAAGAAAGTGGAAATAAGAAAGTAAGACTCAATGCAGTAAATAGCTTACATGCAAATTCACACAGTAAACGGGTGGATTGAACTCAAGTCTGTGAAACCCCACACTCTAGAGTGTTTCCCATATAATATACTAGATGAACAAAGAAACAACAGGACCGTTGTCTGTGTAACGTTTTACTCTTCAAAGATTTATCGAACGACTATGTCTACCACTACCATTAATTTTTAATAATAATTATAAGAATAAATGGTATATTTCCATTATTCCACCAAGAAGAATAATCTTCCAAAATACTCCAAACTATCAATGTTAATTCTAATTCCATCAAAATTCTAAAAGAGATTATGTGTATTTTATGTTAATTTTATGTATGCTATTTATAATCACATGGATTATATGTGACTTCTGTGTATTTAAAAAAGACATACTGATAAGAAGTGATTACTAAGAGTAGAAATGGGTTTAAAAAAGAACAAAAGTAATATTTCTTTTGTTCAAAAAAGAATTATGGGGTACTGTTTAAAAATAAGGCTGTGGGTAATCATATTGTATTATATAAATATATGAAATCAATACACCATACACCCGAAACACAATGTGATACGTCAACTATAGCGCAATAAAAAGTAATAAAATAAAGGTTATGGGGTGCCGTCAGGGAGATACCAAAGATACATTTCATCTGGATTTCAGAAGAGAAGACACCTGACAGTTTCAATCATGTTTTGTAGAACTTACCCAATCTAACGCCCACCTGTGTTTGTTGCCATTAATAATCCCCTACTGTATGCCTTTCATTCCTGCACCTAGTGGAAAACGAGCTTAGGAAACCCTGAAACCTCTACAGACTCTTAAGATTCTAGGAAGTTTGTTTGAAAATGCTAAGTGACACATCTACTTATAGAAATAAAAACTGACAGGTTTGTGGACAGGCATTGAAAACACATGGAGACAGAGTTTACCAGAAACAGGGTGGTGGAAGGTGTAAAAATGATCCCAAATGTATTTGTTAAACACTTTCTTAATGTAAACATCCCTCATCCTCCTGAACTATAATAAAAGAAAAAGGCATAAAAGGGAGAAATGTTTTGTTTCAATTACTCCAGTTGAAATATTTACTTTTGCAAGATGCAGTAGGAATAGCAAAAGCCAAAACCTCAAAGATTTAGAAAACTCAGGCAGAAGTTTAGAAATATAATGTAACATATTCTTTTCCACTTTCATTCCATCAACAGTGACTGAATACCTAGCACTACACATAGTATATTATTGTATATTACACACTCATTGTTGTAATTATTATTAAAAAAATTGATGAATAAGAAACAAACTCTCATATCACATAAACCTCTGGCTGATTTTACTTGGCTTGTTTTTTTCCCCTAAATTATAGGTCTTACCGAAGTTTTATAGTTCATTTCTGAAAAGAAAAAAGTATTTCTGAAATAAAACTCCATCAGAAAGAGACATGCTAGGAAATATTGTTAACTATCAAATATGAATTTCTACATTTTAAGTAGACATTTATTATTTTCAGGAAATGATACTTTCAAATAAATTGATATGTATCTCTACTCCTAAATTCATATTAAATTCCTTTTAGCCACTAAGTTAACAAAGAGAACTACAGGACTTCCTCCTCAAGATGGCTTAAAACTGTTTCTATATTCTCCTTTGCCAGAAAAGTTTCAGAGAAACTTTTATAAAAAATAAGGAAGTCAAATAAATTATAGACAGGTAAATGATTAATAGGTCCCATTTTCCCATTTCTTTTTTTCCTTCCTTTACCACTGTTCTTTTCATCTAAGGCAGTAAATATAATTTTATTTCCCTTGTCTGAAAGACTGAAGATGTACATAAAATAATCAAGGTCCAGATTCATTCTCATAATGAATTCCAGTGTGTTATACTCTTAGGGTAACAATTTTTACTCCTTTTAAGGCTTATTGCTAGATATAACTCAACTCCTGAACTTGATATCACCTTGTTTATTTTTCTTTAAATCAAATTGCTACCTGTTGTTTTCATTGACATTTCCTATACCTGTCGTTCTAGAAATAAACACAACATCTGACTTTACTGTGGGTTCCTTTGCTGGCATTCCATCTTCTCTACATTTCCAGCCAAGTCTTACCGAGATAAACTGGACACAGATTTAGTGGTGGTGGAGATACTAAAATAATGATGCTTCAAAGCTAACCTACATGCTAGAGCCCCTGACACATCGACTGATGATAAATTTATTGTACAACAAACACTAATGCAACTTGCCCAGATATCAATGTCTGATGTCATATAGTTTGAGACAGAAAGGGAGATGCTCTATTCTAAGACTCCTAACTGTGTGTCTGTGGAAAGAATTTTACACCATGAAGACAAGCTATCACACCACGGACTCTCTCATTCCCACCACTGCTCGCAAAAGCCTATATCCCTACACTACAAACCCATCACACTCTACGGCTCTACTTTGGGGTATCATTTGATACCCTGCTGACATAACCATGATTCCTCATTCCACAAAAGTCACTGCAACCCACTCTCTGTTCGCAACATTTAAAATAAGTATGTCTTCAAAAATAAACAAATAAACAAATAAAATACGTATGTCTTCAGATTACAAAAAGCTCAGGAGGATAAAGTAGACACTATCCCAATAGAGCACATTTTCTAACTCCTGGTCTTTTTCCTCTTAGGCCTGGTCACTATATAATAAGAATAAATTGTACCAGTAACTGATGACAAATTAAAAATAAAACAATCTTAAAACACCTTTAATAATATATCACAGATGGAAATGAGGTAATTTTATTAAATACTCAGTTGTATTATATAAACGTCAGAAATGATCTGCTTGAAATGTTTATCTTGTGTTTTTCAACAACAAAAAATTCTAGTGTATTTAAAAGAGAGTAGTTTTCTCACATCAAACATAGTAATGCTTCATTTGTCCTCTATCTTCAGAGAAGAAGGCATTCCACAGAAGTAGATTTTCCAAATAGTTTATCCACTTCACGGCCCGAACTCAATTTACTTAAACCATTTTGGACAGAAATGCTCTCAACTGTTGCCGGCATTCTCCACCAATGCAGGCGGTACACAGTATTCACGACTCTAACTCAGGCACCTGTCAGTGGCTAAGGTCTATCACGGTGAGTATGCGTTGGATTACCGTGCTGTCTGTAAGAGCAAGAGCCTCAGGGCCATTAACAAAGGGCCCCATTGAGGACAAGTTCCTGTACCTACAGTTTCAGAGTTTTCCTGTCCCTTATCCTTTGTCCCTCATGCTCATTCCCTGTTCCTTGTCCCTTTTCCTATCGCTCATCCACCACTGTTTCTAGGATGTCCTTCACCCACCTTCTAAATCACTGCTTCTGAACCATGGCTGATACCTCCGATAACCATGCAGATAATAACTGATCAAGAGCAGAAATAGACAAATTGGGGTGAGAGGCTCCATTTAAAAAGGTGCATCAGCCTCAGTGCACAGTGTGGGTTTAAATCTAGCCACGCAGAGGTTATTTTCAATTCTGTCCTTGTTCTTCATTATATCAGATGGTTGGTTTTTGGGGAAAATGACCGACAAATAAATCATTACTCCACAGCAATTATTCTCATCACACCTTACTGTCCAATACCACTATTACTCAAGAAATGTCACCATTAATAAGCAAAATCCATAATACGGTCTGACTTACCCGAGGCACGCCTTGTGAATCGGTTTATTACAGGAGCTAAAAGAAAAAAAGCAGAATAATATGATTACACATTATTATACACATTACATAAGTTAAACAGAGAAAAAATACAAATGAATAAGCAATGCAAGAGGAAATATCACAAATATATGAAGATTAGATGTTTAAATTCACCAGTAGCCAAGAAATAGAAATTAAAATCAGTATTTCACCTCTTAAATTAGTCCCCCACAAAACTTAAATTAAATTAAAAAAAATTTTTAAAAAATCCCAACTTATATATGGCTACAACTACTTAAGTGGGGACCTATATGTAAATCTATATAGTATCTTTGGAAACCATTTGGCAATCACATCGAGGGCCATAAAAGGCTTGGGTCCTCTAATAAAGTAATTCTACTTTTAGAGATTTATCCTACAGAAATACTACTAGAGAAGGAAAAATCAATGTCTTATGAAAGGAGATTTCAAAATGCAGCAAGCAACCCTAGCTAACAGTCTCTTAAATTGGGATCAGGAGGCCATAAAGGAAGAAGAATTTATTCACATCCTCGTTGGAAAAACCATAAACTTTAAAAAAAAAAAACAAAAAAACCCTTCAACCAGCTGCAAGCTCTCAGCTGGGACTTAACTTTCCTCCTCATCAAGACACCTGAATCATCCTCACTCTTCACTTCAAAAGAAGCCAAAGCAGTTTAACAAAGCTTCACAGCCCCTCATTTGCATATTAACCCAACCAATCCCAGCTACCTTCTTTTCAATCCGTTTTGCACCTAGGACCTGAATGAGAAGGACACCCTCAGCCCCTTGACTCTACAACCCTGCCCTCTCTTTGGCTTCCTCCGATACAGGAACAAGCTCAGATTCAGGTTTCTACCTGTATCTGTGCCTCCTGAATTGCCCCCCAAAAAATGCCTGTTTGCTGAAATTTTCAGCGCATTCTTTCTTGGTCAACAGTATACTTCTATTTAGCAGCATCATTTTTTAAATGAAAAAAACAGGAAACAAAATGAAAAATGCTCATGTATACTGAAATCATCATTGAGTATATCCTTGCTTTCCTCAGATTTAATAGTTATAGCTTTGATCATTTTTGTGCAACCCAGAGGTCAAGGCCTCCAAATCTGTACGCTGAAGGCTGAAATTTCAAGGCGGTGTGCAGAAGTGCATCATCACTCACCTGGAAAGCCTCCCATGGGCCCACTGCCCAGACTCAACTCAGGTCTGCTGTTTCCTCCTGGTTTTGCTTACAGTTATGTCAAGAAGGGAGGTTTTTAAAAACTTTATTTCTTGAGATAAGCAGATAAATTTAAGGTTCCTATTATACACAGAAAGGACATCATGTCCACAGTATATTTAGTGGCAGAATGTCATATACTATAATACTTAATACTTTGATACTTTTAAAACAGTAATTATAAAAATTGTTTACGCTACGGAAATAGGTCAAGTTAAAAAGGAAGACGAAAGGGCGCCTGGGTGGTTCAGCTGGTTAAGCGACTGCCTTTGGCTCAGGTCATGACCCTGGAGTCCCTGGACCAAGTCCCGCATCGGGCTCCCTGCTCGGCAGGGAGTCTGCTTCTCCCTCTGACCCTCCCCCCTCTCATGTGCTTTCTCTCTCTCTCATTCTCTCTCAAATAAATAAATAAAATCTTAAAAAAAAAAAAGACGAAGATTTTATCTGCACTGTGGTTGTACTACATGAAAAATGTGGATGCATAGGAACGAGTATTAGAAGAAAACTGTGTCAAATATTTTACATTAATCCTTGCAACCACTGTATTGAATATTGGCATCTCTGTATTACCGATGAGGACATTTTTCGGTAAAGCTCAGAGATCCTGATTTGCTCTAGATCACAAAGCCACTTTGTGGCAGAGCTGGAGAATTTGAACCTAGACACATCTAGCACCAAAATGCTGCCTCACAGAGAACAGAAAGCAAAAATATTGATTCCCACTGTTATCAAGGATTAATTTGGTGAAGTGAGTCACAAGCCCAATTATTAAAATGCTATCACTTATAGAAAATTATATCTTTCAAATTGCCCAAGAGAGATAAAATTATTATTTCTATACCAGAATAATTTAGCCATATATTTGCAAAGTGATAAATTATATAAAACCTTGAATTGGGGGCGCCTGGGTGGCTCAGTCGTTAAGCGTCTGCCTTCGGCTCAGGTCATGATCCCAGGGTCCTGGGATCAAGTCCCACATCGGGCTCCTTGCTCAGCGGGAAGCCTGCTTCTCCCTCTCCCACTCCCCCTGCTTGTGTTCCTGCTCTCACTGTCTCTCTCTGTCAAATAAATAAATAAAATCTTTAAAAAAAAAACAAAAAAACCTTGAATCAGGTAAACTGTATGTCATGTATATTCACCACATAAAAGGAAAAAAAAAAACCCATCAGTTTTCTTGAACACTTTCAAACCCCTTTTTCACAACTCCTTCAGAACCTAGTCTGAAGAAAGCCTCCCAGCAAGCTCCAAGGACAGGGAATGGAGAGGGTGCAAAACACTTCACCACAAGAATGCAGAGGAGGTAGTGCAGGCTGACAAAGGCAGAGGAAGACAGAAAACCTATCAGCCTTGGAGAAAAATTAGAGCAGACATTCTCCTGCCCTCTCCAGCCTCTCGAGACAATGAAATCACAGCATGAGGAGCTTCTGATCTGAAATGTTCGGAAATCTTTGTTCTCTTGGGATCCCTTAGGTTTCCAAGTCTTTCTGACGTGTATAAGACAGAGATTTTCAACACAAGTGCCATCACCATCTCGAAGGTGTATTCTGATTTTGCGGGGGGCAATCTTTTCAATTGTCACAATAATTCAGAGGATGTCGCTGGCATCTGGGATGTCCTGAATCCCACTACTGTATCCTGCACTGCTTTCAAACATCCCACTGGACATCTGGACATTCGAGGTGGCAAAAAAGTCAGTTTATAACCATCAGATCCTAGATCCTAACAGTGTTTACATATAAACACAGTTATTTTACACAGTTTTACATTAGATTTTCCACAGCACAGCTACAATATAAATCCAAGGAATTTTGGAGGGGGTTTCTGTATTTTGTTTTGTTTGGAATTTTCCTAATAGATATTCATCATTTCAAAAAATCAGGTCATTGCTGCAAAGCCACTTAAGGTGTCTGAATCACCAGTACAGTACACTTGTTTGGATGGCATTTGCAGCTTTTATATTCTTAGTGACTCTACATGGAAGTGGGACAATCGTAACTACATTATGTCTTCCATGAACATACTGAAGTACACACCTGCTGATGTACTGATCTAAAGCAAATCAGGATCTCTGAGCTTTACTGTAAAAATGTCCTCACTTTACTGACTATAAATTACTTTCCTTTATGCCTCCTTTATATTTTTGCTAGAACTTGTCTCAATTTTTAAACTGTGGGTAGATGAGTTATATGACCATCATTTCCATCTCCCCGTAGTGAATGGGGTGTGGAGTCGGGCAGTTAGGGAGAGGGGCACACCAGGCAAGTAGTGCAGTAGTCAAGGTAAACACTGGGTTTTATTTTTGTTTTTTTTTAAAGATGTTATTATTATTTGACAGAGAGAGCACAAGCAGGGGGAGCGGCAGGCAGAGGGAGAAGCAGGCTTCCCGCTGAGCAGGGAGCCTGACGTGGGACTCGATCCCAGGACCCTGGGATCATGACCTGAGCCGAAAGCAGACGCTTAACCGACTGAGCCACCCAGGCGCCCCGGTTAACACTGGGTTTTGACAACAATTACCAAGAACTCCGTCCCTAATATCCACATCCCTCCATGCCCACGTGCAGGGATGGAGCACAAGTGTTCCCTGCACAAACTTTTGGCAAGCTAACTGTAACCTCCACAATTTCTCTAGATTATTTCAGTCTAGCTACCGAAACGGGGAAGAAGGTTGCGATTCAGGGTGGAAGCCCTCCTGCGAAGAAAGCCATGGACATCTGGCTCCAGTGTGCGTGCCACTCTGTCTCTCAGGAACTAAGTGCAGAGAACGGGATCAGGACAAAGGCGAGAAAGGACACTGCCAACATTCTGAGCCCCTGACAGCGTGGGTTGCCACACCGCAGCGCCACCAACTGGAGTCGGGGGCCTGGGAATGGATGGTGTCACACTGACTTAAATTCTCATTTAAAATATGAAAAGAGGACCTGCCTACCTCCTTTAGGAAAGAATTTTAAAAGAACTTCAGAAAAGAACTTAAAAAAACCCACAAAAAACAAAAAAACTGAAGAACTTAAAAAAAGAAAAAAAATCTTTGAAAGTGCCTGTAAGCTACAAATTCCTATTCAAATGTGAGAGACTGAGGTTTATTTATTGTGAGCTAATATGATCAATTTTAATATTACCACTTTCAAAATATACTATGTAAAAAGCAGTATAAACTCACAAAAACAAAAAGGTTAACAGATGATGTTTTCAAATGTGACAAGCCAAATTTAGTTTTCCCAGACTCTCCCACCTTCAGATTTTCCACCTTCAGATTTTCCTATCCTGTGGGTATTCTGTGTGTATTTACTTACGCGCAGGAGCGCGCGCGCGCACACACTCTCTCTCTCTCTCCTGGAGACTAGGAGAATACAGAATGAAAAAAATAGGAAATGTATTATCTGCGTGAAAAAACAAGCAAATATGATTTAAGAATATACTAAACCCCTAACATTTTTGGAGATCTTAGTGAATCCTCAAGGAAAAATACAGAAATATTTATACAGGTTTGACTTTCTCCCAAATGCCATCCCAGGTGAATACTGAGAGTCCTGTGTTTCTCTGAATATCTACATGCTTGTCTAACCAGCGATCCCCTCCATTCCCAAACTATATCCCACCAAATTAGTCTTAACTCCTCTGCTCCCAGGAGACCCAGAAGTATAACTGATTCAAGTCTTCTTTCATCTCAGAGCGTCCTTACAAGAAAAATGCTCCATGATATGACGTAACCTGAATGAGTCTCTCTATTCCTGGCAGTGAAAAGAGCTTCCCACACCTGTGACTCAAACCCCCACTGGTACCAGCAGGACCTACTTATGTT